GGAGCCCCGACCTCCCCAACGCAGCACAGGCGCAGAAAGAAGAGCAGCTCAAAATCGATGACGCGGAGCCCCTTAATGACGAGGAGCTGGAGGAGAAGGAGAAGCTTCTGACGCAGGTACGGTCTCGGCTGTCAGCACAGACCGTGCAAGGGTGTGTGGGGCGTACAGGACACAAGCTCCCATGTGGAGGGGGTGGCAGGGTGGCTGGAGATGTTAGAGCCTGGGTAAAGCGTGGGTCGGGTTATCACCTGCTGAGAAGATGCTAGATCTGCCTTTATCGTGCATACTTTCTGTCAGCGTTCCCATTCTTCCTAAGTTACCTTTCTCAGTCATAAATCTCTGCTCGGTACAGTTTGTTTTGATCGTTTGTTTCTTTGAGACAGGGCTTCACTGTGGTTCAGGCTGGCCTTGAACTCACTCTGTGGCCCAGGCTGGTCTCAGATGCACGGGGAACCCCCCACCTGAGCCTCCCAGGTGTGCACCGCCATGCTCAGCTCTCGGGGTTACTTGTAAGGCATTCTCTTGGATCCATTCAAGGTCCTTAGGAATCTGCCCTTTAACCTGCTTTTAAAGCTTTGTCTTCTTTTCATTTTTCCACTTACTCATCTTTGTTCTTTAGTAACTCTTCATGACTAATTCCTGTTGATCCTTCAGAGACTAGCAAAGCATTTTATGCAGCACCCTTGTTCTTCCCCGTCAGAGCTGCTTGCTTGGTTGTTGAAGCTGTATATATTGTGGTGTTCAGTTTGTGCACGAGAGGTTACCACTCTAAAAGAACTGCAGTTGGGAATTTTTTCTGTAATATTCAGAAACCTGTGTAAAATGTAAGGACAGTTTTCCCCAAAGTTTTCTATTGCTTCACAGGGCTTTACCAATTGGAATAAGAGAGACTTTAACCAGTTTATTAAAGCTAATGAGAAGTGGGGTCGTGATGATATTGAAAATATAGCAAGAGAAGTGGAAGGAAAAACTCCAGAAGAGGTCATTGAATATTCAGGTAATTAATTCTTTTATTGTTTAATATGTAAGTTGCCAGGCTTTCAGAGCTATGGAATTTTGTTTTCTTAGTCTATGTTTTGGTCAGCTAAATTTTTCCACAACATTGTGCCTTGTTGTATGCTTTTAAAAACAAGTTAGCTGGGGCCGGGGATTTAGCTCAGTGGTTCTGGCGTCTGTGGCTCAAGCACAAGGTCCCAAGTTCAATCCCCCGTACCAAAAAAAAAAAAAAAAAAAAAAACAAGACAGAAGGGCGGAGGATGTAGCTCAGTGGTGCAAGCATCCTGAGTTCAATCCCCAGTACTGAGGGAAAAAAATTAGAACAGATCTCTGTCCCTAAAAGTACATAATTGTTTTTTAAAAATTTATTTAGTTATTTTGGCATGTGTGAGAGAGAAAGAGAGGGAGAGAGAGGCATTGTCTTCTGAAGTTTCCCAGGTTGTCTTTAAACTTGAGATCATCCTCTTTTTTTGGTACTGGGGATCGAACTCGGGACCTTTTGCTTGCGAGGCAGATGGCGGAACCACTGAGCTACATCCCCGGGCCCTAATTTGAGATCTTCCTGCCTGTAATTCCAGCAAGTAGGGAGGCTGAGGCAGGAAGATGATAAGGCCTGGCCTGATTTTTTTTTTTTTTTTTTTAAATGCTAACTATATAGCCAAGAAGAGGGCATAGAATAATTGTGTTTTGATTTTTATTTCACTTCTCTCCATCAGTTCTCAACTATTGGTGTGTTTGTATTTCCTGAAAGTTGACTGTGTATACTTATTTTGTGGTGAGTCTGCTTGGAATTTTAGCATAACAAAATTTAAGAGTTGGTAGATAAATTATTCAGTACATCTTAGATTCTTATATTTTAGGCAATTGGGAAATTAAAAGTGACTTACTACTTTGCAGTATTAAATGTAGGTTAAATGGAGTTGTTGCTTGATCCTCAGCAAATCAATTAGAGCAGACACATTAAAAGTCACTTGTGTTTACACCCGTCCTCCATTCGTCCCACTGTCCAACTTTCCCTGTGTTACAGCTGTGTTCTGGGAAAGATGCAATGAGCTCCAGGACATAGAGAAGATCATGGCACAGATTGAAAGGGGAGAGGCAAGAATTCAGAGAAGAATAAGCATCAAAAAAGCACTTGATACGAAGGTACTTTGTGTGTTAATAAATATTTTAGTTAATATATCTCCTGTCATTAGAGTTTTTTTTAAAGAAAAGGAAATAGGGTTTAAAATTTAAAATTTCTTCAGAGAAAAACATTGGAAAGTTGTAAATGTTGTCAGCATGGTTTGCTTGTGTCTTCGGCTTATGATGACACAGGCGCTGGGATCAGCTTGTGATCAGATCTTTGCGTCTGTACTTCTTGTAATAATAACAATGAAGACGATGAAGGTCTTAGATGACAAGGGTTATAGAGTGCAGTTGAGGTTATCTGAATAAAAAGTTCTCACTTATAATGCAACTTTTGTAACATAATAGTAAAACTGAGTTTGAAGTAGCTTATGAAGGATTTGTATTTCATAAATTCTCGGACTTACAGATTGGACGGTACAAAGCACCTTTTCATCAGCTCCGAATATCATACGGTACCAACAAAGGAAAAAACTACACAGAGGAGGAGGATCGTTTTCTGATTTGTATGCTTCACAAGCTTGGATTTGACAAGGAAAATGTCTATGATGAATTGCGGCAGTGCATACGCAACTCTCCTCAGTTCAGATTTGATTGGTTTCTTAAGTCCAGAACTGCAATGGTGAGTGCACTAGGTCTCTTGTGTAATATAGCAGAGTTCAGAGTAAGGTGTTTGGAATTTGTTTTGTGGTACTGGGGGTTGAATTCAGGGCATCATGCTAGACAAGTGCTCTGATAATAATGTTAATCAGGTTCTGAGAGGAAATGTCAGTATCAGTTTCGACTTCTGAACATGATGACTCTCTTGGTTTTGCAGATGAATAGATTTCTGTAGAGAAAAATGATCTTTACATTCACACGTGTGCACATCAGAATGCTGAATCTGAATTATTTTTAAGTGACTAAATGGGTGAAAGTAATGTTTTTTGTATCAGTTTAATGTTAGGCTTTGTTTTTGTTCTCAGTATCTGGCTGTTTCCAGCCAAAGATCTTCATTTCTGACAACCTAATGTTAGAATTCAGAAAAGCGTAGCTCTGATGGATCACTCCTTTCCTTGCGTATTTCCTTACTTTTGATGTAGCTTCAGCTTGTTGTGTTTGTCAGGATGATGAGATGTGAAAAGCTTCTCTAGTTTGTGACCTACTGGGTTAAGCAGAGTTTTAATGGCTTACTTTTCATAGTAAGATCTCCCAGTGTACTTGGAGTATAATCTCACAGTGTATGATAGTGAGTTAGAGTGTTTCCATATTTGATCACTGAGAAAAATTTTTCAGAAGGGAAAACATTGTATGAATGGGTAGATGAACGATAGATTCAGTTGCTTTGAGCCCTTCTCTATCTTTTTTAAAGATATTTCTTTCAGTCTCTTAATGCAAGATTTGGTACATTTTCACATTAGATAAGACTTTTCATATTGTGATCCTATTTAAATGTTATAATGTAAAAATTAGGTACTGAGGAATATTTTTGTTTTGTTTTTTGTTTTTTGTACTGAGGAATATTTAAGCCCTATGTAATTGCTTTTAATTCTGACATTAGTGAAAGAAAATGTGTCTCACCAAACAGGTAAATGAAGTAAAGCAGAGTTTACTTTTATATCCTGAAAATACTGGTAGAACTCTCAACCTGTTATAGATCTCAATCTCTTTAAACGCTTTCAGATACTGTCGCTGCACCTTTCAGTCTTTTCTTTTTTCTTTTTTTTTTTCCTTTCAGTCTTTTCTGAAGAGGAATGCAGTCAACAGCAATGAAATAAATTTTGGGACCATTATTTGAGTACTAACTCTCTTATCCCTCTTCCACAATTGGCCACTAGTCAGAAAATCCTATAAGTTTCTCCTCAGGAGAAACTTGTAGGAGAGCACCCTACAAGTAGTCTCTATCAACCTACCCCAGCAAGGTCCCAAAATACATGGCAGAGGGCTGTAAAAGACTGGTTATATACAGTGTCTACTCTACAAATTATGAGGCTTAATTCAATTTTGAAATTTCTCCAACCCAAATTTTTGTTGTTTTTTTTTGAGACAAAGTCTCGCTCTGTAATTCAGGTTGGTCTTGAACTCACTATGTAGCCCAGACTAGCTTTGAACTCATGGCAATCCTGATTCAGCCTCCTGAGTGCCAGGATTACAGGTGTGTACAGCCATGCCTGGAATAAATCCAATTTTTGCTTAATCTCTGGATTCTTGGATCCAAATACAGATTTTCATCTTGGATGCTTTTCTGATTATGCCTACTTCCTGGCATGATCTCCTGGCCTCCTACTGGAATGCCACAACTATATATGTCTTCTTGTTTTATATGGTGAACCTGTGACTATCACTTAGTCCTGTGGTCTTTATGTTTTCCAGGAACGTTTTGCACACCCTGTTCTGTAGGGAGTGTGCAAGACCTTTTACTCCTTGGCCTGGGAGTGAGAAGGTGGGAGTGGCTCAGTTGTAGTGCTTGTGAGGCTCTGGCTGCAATCCTTAGAATTACAGGGGGAAAATTTTACTCATGAGCTTAAACTGCCTCTTCTGTGGAGAACACATTAACTAGGAGAATGAACTAGGGCTGATGATCGGTCTCTTTACCTGAATCTTTCTTTTCTTCCTCCCACGCACAGTTATTTCCCAGGACAGTCTTCTCTACACCTCCACTGCCATGGACTAATCTATTCATAGTCTTCCTTCTAATTCTGCTCTTCTTGTTTGACCAATTCCAAGTCTCACAGAAAGCCTGGACAGAGATGAAGACCATATATAGAACAGTAGCCCTGAGAACGAGAAAAAAAATCCACTGGTCTTTTAGTCAGTCATCTCAGTCAAGTTATTTCTTATATAACATTTTCCACCTTTTGCTTTTTGCTCAGCACTTCCACATGAATTTAAGTTCCTTACCTTAGCAGGTTTTCTCGAATATGAATTCTCTGATGTTGACTCAGGTGAGAGCTCTGACTGAAGGCTCTCCCACACTTGCTGCGTCCATAGGGCTTCTCTCCAGTGTAGGTTCTCAGGTGTTGAATAAGGTGTGCACTCACTCGGAAGGTTTTCCCACACTCACTGCATTCATAGGGTTTCTCTCTGGTGTGAATTCTCTGATGCTGGACAAGATGTGAGTTCAGGATAAATGTTCTCCCACATTCTTTGCATCCGAAAGGTCTTTCCCCAGTGTGAGTTCACTGATGTTTAATGAGATCTGAGCTGCCCCCAAAACCTTTCCTGCATTCCTTACATTCACAGGGCCTTTCTCCAGTATGATTCTCTGGTGCCTCACAAGCTGTGAGCTATGTCTGAATGCTTTTCCACACTCACTGCACTGATGACGTTTTTCTCCATTGAGAATTGCTGCATGTATAATAAGGTTTGGGCTCTTAAAAGAGTTTCTATCATGGTGAATTTTTTCTCCAGGACAAATTCTTTGATGCTTAACAAAATCTGGATTCCATTTGAAACTCTGGTCGCACATAGAACATTTACAAGGTTTCTGGTATGTGAATTCATTTGAATTCAGATTCAACCTTCTCTCACACCTGTGTTGTCTTACGTCACCTGTGAGTGTATTTTTGTGGGTGAAGATTTTATTAAAAGTTCCATCCTGGGAAGATGGTGATCTTGGCGACTCATCAGGTTCTTCCTTTTGCTTTTTTACCCGACCTGCAGACTTGCACATGTCCTGAGGCTCAGCAGATTCTTCTGATGTATATTCTGAGACTCTTCCAGATTTCATTCTCTCCAGTTCCATTTCTTCATAAATGTTCATCTTAGGCATGGATCTACTATTTTCACTCTCACTATCCCTTACCACAGTCCAGGAGGAGCTGGGGTTCTGAAGAACCATAATGGACCTTGATCTCTTCTAGCTGGGGCTGGACATTAAGTGCTGGTACAGGAGGCAATAGTCTTTTCCTGAATATTTTGTGTCCATGTCCAAATCCTTGTCCTTGGGATGGAACCTGGGCCTGCAGCTCCTCAGGCAGGATGGCTAGGAACTGCTCCAGCTCCAGCAGCTCCAGGATCTGCTCCTTGCTGTGGGTCTCTGGCTGAAGCCACTGATGGCAGAGCTCATGGAGCCACCTCAGGGCCTCTCGTGGTTCAGGGGAATCCTGGTAGCAAAACTTTCTAAAAAGTTGTCGACTGAGCTCCTGCTTGAAGGGATCATTTCTCTGTAAGCAGCTGTCTGGATTCCAGATTAACTTCCTCTTCCACTACCAGAAGTCCTTCATCCACTGGAAAGTTCTTAGCTGCAGCTTTCCTTGATTATGTTGCCATCTCAGGCCAAAGATACTAGAAGGGGCTTCTTCAGGAGAGTCTTCCTGTTTAGAGTGTGGAACTAGGATTGTTACAGTTATTGAGAAGGAAGAACTAGGGTTACTTAAATATCTCTTATTAGATAACAGAATAAGGCAAGTCTTCCCAAGGGCCAGATGTTAACTTCAGCCAGTGCAGCTGGCTCCTGGCCTCAAGTCCATGGGCTTCCTTCCTCCTGCTCCAGTAGTTCCTCATCTGGTTTCCTAATTTTGTAGCTCACTCCATGTTTTGATTACTGAAGTTTCACTGCAGCACAGCATACAGAAAACATGAAGTACTGGCCGTGTGAACCAGGGACCCTGGCATTACCATGAAGCAATCGCGCTCCGGGCCAGCGGGCCACCCTACTGCTCATGGCACCCGCCACCTGGCCCCTCCTATATCTTTTTTTAAATAGAAGCAATTTATTTAGTTCATAAGAACATTGATTTTGTAGAGAAGACCGTATAACAAAGATTGCTGGGCGAGGTGGCACGTGCCTGTAATCCCAGCACTCGGGGGGCTGAGGCAGGAGGATCGCTGCAAGTTCAAGGCCACCCTGGAGTGCATAATGAGGCCCTGTCTGAAAAACCAAAAAGAAAAAAAATTGGGGGGGAGGGTGTCACTTACTGTACACAATATGAGTATAAAATTGAGTTGCTTCCTAACATGTGAAGGTACACAAAAACACCTTACTGCACACAGTGCTATGGTGATAACTGGGGCAAGGCCCTCATCCAGGAGCCAACAGGCTTCAGCCCTGACGCCGATGGTATGCATGCCACAGTGCAGTTGAGAGGGAGAGGGGGTTTGATGTTACTGCCTCTGTCTGTGTTGCTATCAGTATTTGCATTGTGTGTTATGTGAAGTATTTTCATGGTAGGTTTTACTTATTTTAAGGCAAAAGAAACGCTTTCAGAGCTGCCAGCCGACAGTGATGCAGGTGGATTTCTGTTCGTGTGTTATTGAAGTTCTAGTTGATTTTGATCCTCAAATGTGTGTATTACTAATTTAAAAGAATTTTTGGTTGTAAATTGTAAGTTGGCAGAATTGCATATATAAGACACTCAGTTTCATTGTTGTAATTCCACAAAAGTGTGGTTTTAAAGAGTGAAGTAGAAATGTGAAATAACCTTTTAAAAAAAAATCCTCATGGCATGAATTGTTTAGAATAAGTTATTTCATTTGTCTTTAAGGGGATATATGAGTGGTTTTATGTTATCTCCTGAAACATACCTTTGTTTAAAAGTTGAAACTATGACAAGTTGTAGATGGAAAGTACCAGTTTATTATGTCCATTTATGTCTACGTATCTAACTCAGGAGCTCCAGCGGCGGTGTAATACCTTAATTACATTGATTGAAAGAGAAAACATGGAGCTGGAAGAGAAGGAGAAGGCAGAGAAAAAGAAACGAGGGCCAAAGCCTTCAGTAAGTATCATGAACATTCACCTGTGTAGATCCTGTCACCTTCACCTTTTCTCTTTTCAAGAACATGACTTGGCTATTGATAATGCACGATTTTGTTTTTGAAAATAATATAATTGAGTCATTGAAAGTCTAAAGATTTAACTTGAAGGGCCAGGGATTTAGCTCAGTGGTTTTGCTGCCTGCTGTGCAAGTGCAAGGACCCGAGTTCGATCCCCAGTACCAAAAAAAAAAAAAAATTGAACTCGATTGTATTATGAAATCATGTTATAGTGAGGATTCCTAAAAATCTGGGGAGGTACGTATCATGAATGCCATGAGTGTGCACACTTTTGCGAATATGGGTCGTCATTTTAGACTAATTTAAGGAATATTAGGAAAATAATGGCTTTACCACCTAGCTTCTAAGCTTTGGTTTATTGTCCTAATGCTGTCTTAGCTATGGAAAGGGAAGCATCTTAAAATAAAGTTATCTTATTATTTAGTGGTATACATTATTTGGCTTTGTTTTGAAATAATTATATATTCTGGGAGAAAAATACTATACTTCTGTTATTATGAAGCAGTTATTGCTAAAATGCTGTGCTGTGTTTGTGAGTTTATTTCATGTTTGTATTAGTCTTATCATGAAAATAAATCTTTCTGCTTAATTTGTAGACACAGAAGCGTAAAATGGATGGAGCACCTGATGGTAGAGGAAGAAAAAAGAAGCTGAAACTATGAATGCATATTTGTTTCATAATCACTAACTTTAAAGCAGTAGTTCTTTAATTTACGGGTCTTCATAAGATGTACTGTACAATGCTCAATTGTTATGTCATTCAGAGACATCAGGTTCATCTGTTTATTGAGCTAGAAATATAGTATGTACTTTCACTTTTTTAAATGGAACAGCTGTGCTGAAATTTTTTTTTATCATTAACACTTGAAGTAATAAAATAGGCTTCATTTATTAATAAATGTTTCATTTGATTTATTTTTCTATTATAGTTCCATTTGTGAAGATTGTGACTTTTTATCAGCCATCATTTTTACACTCGTAAGGCTTAAACACAAGCAAGCAAGTAAAAAATTGCAAATAACAGTTGTCCCTTCAGTCTTTATTAGTTGTGTAATTGTTTCAACTCACTTTGCCTTTGCAAGAATTTGGGTATATTTGTAGTACTGTTGAGTCTCATCTGGAAAGATTATGTAAATTGGATTCTCCTTGATTATAGAATAGGGGGAAAGGCAAAACAAATTATAATTAATTTCTATGCACATTTGTGTTATGCTATTTCCTTGGTTGCTTCTGAAGTGAAATATGCCCAGTTATGTTGGAAGAATGGCCTTTTAGTTGTGATAGCCAAAGACATTTAGTATATTCTGGTTCTTTAAGGTGTTACACCATTTTGTAAAAGGAATTTTTTTTTAAAGTATGCGGTAAATATTTTGACAAATGACCTTCTGAAGTAGCCACAACTTAGAAGGATGTCAGAACTAAAATGATTTTTTTTCTTATAGGAAGACCCAGCCAAAATAAGGTGTGAATTTGTCATACTATTAAAATTGATAACAACTTATATCCCCTCCCAGTTTATAGTATTTTTGAGTTAATAGAATAAATGGAAATTTTATTTTATTATATTTTAAAGTAATTTCTAAATATTAGCAGCAAGACTGAGTATAATTCCAGTTTTTATTTTCTATGGAACAGATTTGATAAACTGGAGACCCAGAAGCAGGAATACCCAAATTGTAGTGTTAGGATTTTAGCTGTACCAGAAGCCTTTCATGTGCTACACATAATTTGTATAAAGTTTTATATGTGCAAATTGGGTACACAAGCAGTTCTCCATTTTTCTAACGGAATGCAATAAATGTAGCATCGTGAATAAATATCTTTTATAATGGTTAAAGTGGTCTTTTCTTTCCATTTAATTTTTTTCTCACTTAATTCTTCAGTTTTTCCCTTTGGACATTATCTATTAAATTTCTTTCTCTTAAATTTCTGTTTTAGTCTGCACACATGTAATTGAAAATTAAGACTTGACAGCACTAACATTGCAGTTTTCTGAAGGGTGGGGTTGCTGCTGTTAAAAGCGAAACAAAACAGTCTTTATGGTAAATTGTAAACTAGTTTGAATTTATTCCATACTCCTCTCAAAATTGACTTCTGTGTAATGCTGGATTCTTTTAATAGAGTTGTGACTTCATTTTGGAAAAAGTAATTGAAAAACTAACAGTCAAAACTTCATGGAGGTTTAAAGTGATGTTTTTTCAGAAGAGAAATTGGGAGGAGGTACACGGTAGAAATGCAAACAATCAAGTACACTGCTAGTTCTTGCGAGTTTGGAGACTCCCATAAATATAAAAGAAATGTACAAAGAGAAAGTGACTTGAGAAAAACATGCGAGTAATACCCGTCTCCGCTTTGCAGGTTAGCCAGTACTGGACTATGTGTGTTTCAGGGGTCAGTTTGCACATGGTATGGCGTGTTCGTCTAGAATGAGGTAAAGACCTGTTTTTGTTTACTACTAAGGAAGGGAAAAAATAGCTCAAACTGTGCATCTGTCTTAAAAGTTCAGTGGTGACGATAGCCACATAATTGGACCCTGCTCCTAACTGGTACTGCCTGAACTAGCCAAGAAGCAGGGTTTTTTTTTTGTATCCGGCATGGAACTCGGGACCTTGCGCTTGGGAGGCAGCTGGCAGGCAGCGGCTCCACTAAGCTAAATCCCCAGCCTCAAGAAGCAGTCTTTATGTGGGTGACCATATCCTGTGTACTCACTGGGGAAAGTTTTATATATTTCTGTTAGGAAGGTAAATCATGCCCATATATGAACTGGCAGTTGTTACTTAATGTTAAAACCTGACATGTGCCCCCAACCCTAAGATAAAGGAAAAACTTCCAATTACTCTTAGACTTAAGGCACTTCAGATAGTAGGCTTACAGTGTGCTTATTATGAGCAGTGTGTAAGTACACAAAGCGGTAGATGGTAGCTACAGACAGCAGAGAAGCTGCTCAGTATAAGCGTATGACAAAACCAGTTCCCAATTTGTTGCTGTTACAATAACCTCAAATAGAATCCTACTGTATAATACTTTTTTACCCTTTATGGATCTTTATTGCTTAGTTCACATTAATATTTCAAGGAGTATTTATAACTGATTTTCTGAGAATCATTGTTCTCTTAATATTTTACAACTTTTTTCCCAGTTTGGTGTTTGGGAATGAGTTGACTACATGAACTCAAGTAGTAGGAGTTGAAAGAGTGTGAAGAGGTTAAATTGAGTACAAAATAATATCCTCATTTCTGGCACAAAAAATGGTTCTTAACTTTTAAGGGAAGGAGCAGTCTGGTTTATCTGTACCCAAAATGCTGGGCTCCCCACACATTTGTGTAGCAAGATACAAAGTCAACACTCCTCTCGCAAAGGAAGTGAAAGAGCTTACATTGAAAACTACAGCACTCTGAAAAAGGAATGAGTTGTGGAGTATTGCTTCCCTTTTGATTTCATTAAAGAGGTTGAGTAGTGACATTAAATCTTCTCTAAATTTCTTGAATTCAGCA